TAGGTCAAATCGGTCACCCACATGTTCCGAGTAACATCGGCCCAGTTGGCATGACTTATCTGGGCCAACAATGCTATATAGAGGGATCGTATATGATGAGACCATTTGCCTTTGATACAACTTGGTTACAATTCATTACACCTATTTGGTGTGAAATTTGATAGCTTGGATGTGTCATAAAGTCCAAATTTTTTTTTTTTGAAGTTTGAGCTTGGTCAATGGAATAGCTGTAGCCACTCAACTTGACATCCAATGATCAAGATTAATGTGACCACCTTCTAATTCTTCTTTGAATCGCTCTATGCGCATGTTTAATCAGTTTATATTGAGCCACCATTTGGTAGACTTGCCTATAAATAATGTGCTTTATACTTTGTCAAACAATTCTATAGATAATTTGATTCCAAGCAAGATAAAACGTTTTCTAATTTCAGATGAGTGAGAATCGCAATATCCACTGGTTATGTTAATGTTCTCACTAAGTTGTCTTCTTATCATCTCCCTATTTGCTTGAAAACTGATAATGTGATTAGGGGCCCAAAACCATTTCGGTTGAATTTGGAATGGATGGAGGAAAATGATGTGATAGAGTTGATCTCGAATACTTGGCATAGCTCTTTCTGTTTGGGATGGTTTGGATTTCGTATTCACAAAAAATTGGTGAATATAAAGCATAAACTTATCCAATGGAAAAAGGATACGAATTTCATGTGAAAAATAAGATAGAGAGGAAGTGAAGATGAATTTGGATATGATTGAGCTGGCTATCCAAAATGAACGAAGTTTATCCTCTCAATTGAAGGAAGAAAAGATAAGCCTTATGAACACACTTCATGATTTTTTGAGATCAGAAGAAAATCTATCAGAAACAGAGATCGCGAGTTAAGTGGCTTAAAGAAGGGTATTTAAATATGAAAATTTTCCATGCTATAGATAATACAAAGAAAATGCAAAATGATATATCTCAAATTAGTTTTGAGGGAGTTACAGTGCAAGATAGATTGGCATGGGAATTAAAATTTGTTAGGTATTTTCAGAGATTATATTCTAAAGATGTGGCTTTTACCCCTAGATTGGATGGACTTCAATTTCAAAGATTATCAGTTCAGGAAGCTAACTCTTTGGAAGGATGGACTACAGAGAAAGAGGTGAGAAGGCCAGTTTTTGCTCTTCCACGAGACAGTGTCAGGTCATGATGGATTTCCGGTAAGACTTTCCAAATATTCTGGGAGTTGACTAAAGTTGAGTTACTAATGATGATGAATGAATTTTTGGATAAGGATTTTATAAGTAGAGCGATAAACTCTACTTACATAGCATTAATTCCAAAGAAAAAATTGATTTCTGGTATAATATGATATACGCCCAATCTGCTTGCTCACGAGCCTATACAAGATCATACCTAAAGTCTTAGTTGAGAGAATAAAAAGGGTGTCGAAAAGGGTTATAAGCAGTCATCGATCAGCATTTATTCATGGTAGGATAATTACTGACGGGTGCTAATAGAGCAAGAAGATTTGGAAAAGGCGTATGATCATGTAGATTGGGATGTACTTTTGAAAGTCTTAAGGTGCATGAGGTTTGGAGAGAAATGGTGCAGATGGATCAGTTGTTGTCTAACAAGCATTCATTTTTCAGTGTTGGTAGAAGGAAGTCCAAAAGGATTTTTTCAGGCATCCAGAGGGTTGAGACAGGGTGATCCTCTCTCCCCTTTTTTGTTCACAATTATGGGAGAAAGTTTCAATACAGCCATTTGCAATGTTGCGAATAGGGGACATTTTGAAGGATTCAAAGTGACACCACAGAGTCAGCAAGTTTCTCATTTGCAATATTTAGATGACACATTGTTGTTTTGCTCGGCATCAGTAGATCAGACTGTAAACATCAGAAGAATGCTTTTATGCTATGAAGTTGGCCTTGGTCTTAAGGTAAACCTTGACAAAACGTCCATTGTGGGAATTGCTTGTGATGATGCAGCAGTAGTAACTTTAGCCTTTCATTAGGGTTGCAAAGTTGATAAATTCCCTATTAAATATCTTGGTTTACTGATCTTTGATAAAAGGTTGCCTAGATCTGTTTGGGACCCGGTGTTACAGAGAGCAATTGCGAAGTTGGACCTATGGAAATCCAAACATCTGTCTTTGGGGGGCAGAGCGACTTTAATCAAATCATCTTTATCAAATCTACTAGTCTACCAAATGTCCCTTCTTCAAATGCCTACATCAGTAATGAAATCTATTAAAAAATTGATGAGGAGTTTCTTTTGGGGATCTGGAGACTTTGGTAGAAACGACAACTTTGTCAGTTGGGACAGAGTATGCACTCTGGTTATTGAAGGTGGATTGGGAGTGAGAAGGCTAAAATACATGAATTGGGCTTCACTAGCTAAATGATGGTGGGTAGCGCTAGAGGAGGATAACCCAATCAGATGGATGTTTCTTGGTTAAATCAACTTATACTTGGCTATTTCTTGATAGAATAAGATGGAATAGAAAAGCCCTTAGACATGTATGGTCTTAAAAAATTCCTTACAAGGTTAAGTTTTTCTTATTGGTGTTGTTTCAAGGTAAGTCTCTTACTATTGATAATCTTATGAAGAGAGGTAGAACCATTACAAATGTTTATTTATTATGTAAAGAAAGTGATGAGAATGGGGATTACATGTTTCTTCATTGTCCCTTTGTCTGTGACATTTGACGTTGGGTTTTTAATAAGATAGGGATTGCAGGATCCATACCCTAAAGTCATGCAAACTTGATCGATCAATTAAGCTTCATGGGGTTACCTAAGGCGAGGAATATCATCTCAAGTATTGGAAGAGCAGCAGTGCTTTGGGAGGTATGGCTAGAGAGGATTAGGCTAGTTTTTTAAGGGATTTCTATGGACAAGGATTTGGTGAAAAGAAGGAATTCACATTCAATATGGAGATGTGGAAGTTAATTTGGGGATTCTCATGCAGCAAAGGAGTATTAAGATAAGACCAAGAGGTAGATGGGAGGCACCGGATATGGGAAGTTTAAATATTAGTACTTATGGGAGTTCCTACGGTATTTCGGGACCAGCAGGTAATGGAGGGGTAGCGAGAGATCATAATAGTGATATTATTTTCTCCTTTGCTGGTCCGTATGCTGAGAAAACAACTAATGAAGCTGAAATGTTGGCAGTTCTCTAAGGGTTAAAAATTCTGAGGGATAAGAATCTGATTATTCCTTGCGTAATAGAAGGGGACTCTTTGAATGTGATAAGCTGGTGTTCTAAGATCTGGAAGCCACCAAGGAAGTTGAAGTCTCTTTGTCTTGAAGCTATGGATATTGGAGACTCATTGGATGTATAATTCAGACATGTGCTTCGGGAAGCAAACGATTTAGCAAATTCTTATTCGAAGAGAGGTGTCCTCTTCAATCTCTTTTAGTTTCTGACTCTGCTTTAATTTAGTTCGTTGTAATTTCTTTTCTTTCTATCAATAAAATTTTGAACATTGTCCACAAAAAAAAAAAAGCGACCACCTTGTATTAAAGGTAAACAATATCATTCTATATTTTTCCGTGTATAAAAAGAATGAAAGAATTAAACAAAAGTTGAAATCGTTGATGTTCAAACAAGACCTAGAAAAGACGAGGAATTTCCATCTAGTTAAAGCTTAAATGGTAGTCGCCATTGAAAGCTAGAGAGGAAGCTCTTCCTAAGTTCATTCGGATTAGCACCAAGCTAAACTGAAGGCGCCACCCCTGGCCACCTAGACGGTTCAAGATTGAAGCAACCCCAAAAACAGATGAGCGGTTGGGGCTGTTGGGCATGTTCATTTGGCAGCCTAGGCACCGTTTTCGCCATCTAGGTGGCAACTTGGCCTCTAGGCGTGCGCCTTGAGGGGCGCTACCTTAACCCAAGAGAAGCACCTTGGGCATCAGCTAGTTTCAAGGTGCGAACGGGCACCTCTTTTTTTTCATTATTTTTTTTTTTTTTGTCTTTTGAGTAGTTCAGTAGTATGATTGATCGTGAGATATAGCGCTGCAAAAAGTCCGTGGCTTACAACTCAACCCAGCTTTTAATATGCTTAAAATTAGCTTTTAGAGAAGAGCAGTTCAACAATTGATCTCCAAAGTTCGACTCGGAGAATGAACAGCGGCCCATGTTCCGTGCACTCTTTTGTAAAAGAGAAAGGTTTTGGTAACATTCCTCAAATTTGTTCTCCGAGAAAATACTTGGGGAACTTTATATATTATTACAACTTTTATTGGAAAAAAATTTATAAAAAAAAATATTTAACTTACACTACAGAAGGTACTCCTCAAAAATCCATACTTAACTTACAATATAGAAGGTACTCCTAAAACATCCACCTGAATAGATTGTTTAACGGATCATCTCAATCTCAATATGTATGAATATGAAAAAAAATAAAATAAAATTTTAAGCCCTAAAAATAATGTACCTTATGAGACTTTACCTCAACTATCCATTTTCAAAAGGACCCGGTTTCTATGCAGTCAAGCTTGCATATGTAAAAACACAAGCCTATTAATAAATCTATTTTTGAGACCGATTTTTGGACTTAAATTTTAAGGACATGTAATCTCTAACATGAATATCATGAATACGAAAAAAAAAAAAAAATTAAAACTAAAAATAATAATTCTAGTAAGTAAACATTTGGATCGTTAGTTTTCATTGTTTTTCGATGGAACGCCCTACTTGCATCCATCTCTAAGATGGATACTTTACACTTTTTAGACCGCGTATGTAATAATACAGTCCAGTCTACTTGAAACGATTTTCCTTCTAAAAATTTCCAAGTGTTCGTAGTTCTACTCTATCTACACTATTTTCAGAGCTTTAAATTTTTATAATTAGAGGTGAAAAACAGATTTTTTAAGTCATCGTAAGGGCTTTCAGCATCAACACTGCATCTTTCAACAATACATTGAGGTGCACCTACTTTGTTTGAGGTGTCAAGGTTGACACCTCATGCAAACAGCATTGTTTTTGTTATTGTACTAGGAAACCACAAACTAATGTACTCCATCTCCAAGTGAAATCAAGTAAAATCTCAATTCCACAATTTTTGTTGTACTTCACACATCCATCTACTTAGTTATCTCTTTCTTCAACGCACCGCACCCTGTTACAACTGACACTTTAAACGAATAAATTCTCTCTCAAATTTCAATTACCCCAAGAATATAATAGAAACTACACAGGCCCGCCATAGCCTAAACTCAATTATAAAAATTATACAGGAAATAAGATCAAAAGGAGGAAACGAATTTCAAAAGAGAGAGAAAAGAAAAACAAAGAAAATGGCACCAAGAAAGCCAGTAAGGGATGCCGAAACGCCATGCACCAACCAGCCGTCCATGCTCAGATCTGTTCCTGTGCTGCTTCAAGAATTTCTCAATTAGTCCAAGAGAGGATGCCAATTCAAAAATTATGGCTTGCATAAATATCCAGATTATAAGATTAATCAGATCTTCGGTCACGATGATTGTAACCCCTACGTATATCATACAAAGGCAAAAGAGAATGCCCCTTGTGTTTCCTCTTTCCATAACACCGCCAATAGAGAAGCACTACAACTAGCAATACACCGATCTGAATGGCCCATCTGTTATCCCAAAAGAAAGAAGCATATATTATTAAAAACCAAAGACATGTCAATTGAAGCCCTGGAGGATGAAAAGAAATCACAGAAATACATTAGTTGACAGGGTCTCACGAATTATTCAAAATGGACGGACGCACGCCCTTCTGGCGCATTTTTCTTCCCATGAGCAGACTCTACATATGTTGGGGCATCACTCAAGCAGCCACATATGCAGGCAATGCCTCTTATGTGGGCACATCATGCTTGCTTTCATTGGGAGACGTGCAATGCGCCACAAGGGCACATCCACTTTGTTGTGATCCCATATAGCATTTTGCTTGCTGCATTAGAATAGAGAGAGAGATGCAGATGTTTGGCAATCAGCATGTGTCCTTGTGGTGCATTGCAGGTCTCCCAATGCAAGCAAGCATGATGCGCCCACATAAGCGGCATTGCCCGCATATGTGGCCGCTTGAGTAATGCCCCAACATATGTAGAGTCTGCTCATGGGAGGAAAAATGGCTATGAGCAAGGGCAGTTTCATTCTTTTTCCCCCGAAAAGGAGAAAGAGGCTTTGGTGGGGCACCCCTGAAACCCCCCTAGTACCACGTTTTTATGGTTCTAAGGGGATTAAGTGAAAAATCAATAATCATTTTCCTTCTATTTCAAAGATTTTAATAAAATTTGTACATTCTCTGACAAAAAAAAGTTCAAGGTGATTTTGTCCTATGTTTGAAGGGTGCCGGGACAAAGATTTACTTGCAGTAGAGCTATCTTTTTTATTGTTTATGTCCTGAATTTTTGGTCTTTGGATGTTATGGACTTGTGAAGTACTATTCAACAATTGCAATTAGTATTTGGCATTTTGGGTATTCTGGCTACATGCTAGAGTTACTTAGTTATTAGGTGCTATTTTCTTTTAAATTTCTTGCTTGGCAACTTCGAGACACACACACATAGAGACCAAAATAAAAAGGAACAAGTCGAATAAAAGAGGTGAGCGTACCTGTCCAAATCGAGGATTGGGCTATAAACAATAGTCTCCCAAGTTGCCACCACAAAGTGCCATGTGGTATTGTAGTAAAGTGACTCTGCTGACCAAAACATGCGTGTATACGTTTCCAAGAAGATAAACAATATCCAGGCTCCAACTTCTAACAATATAAATTTAACGATGAAACGGCCAACCACAACCATGACAAGGGAAAAAGCCACAAGCCAGTTGAAAAGCCTGTGATTGTACTCCTTTATGAACAGGGATCGAGCTTTTGATAGCATCTAAAAAAAGACAATTCTTTAGAAGTCAGAATTGATCTGTACGCTCATTCAAAAGAAAAAAACACAAGGAAAATGCCAATAAAGGTGCAGCCAAATTTGTAGGAGTGGATGGCGGGAACGCATGCACTCAAAGAACGAAGGAAAAAATTGAAATTGCATGCTTTCATTTCTCCAGAAACAAATACTTGCCAAAAAGGAAAAAAATGAATAATGATCTCTAACAAGCTCTTTAAGGAAAAAAATGAAAACGAACCAGGTATATGCATAAAAGGTCTTAATCCAACTTCGACCAATGAAGGTCAATTAGTCTAAGGCTGTGAGCTAGTCCTTGAAATTGGCTCAAATGAGTGGCAAAGCCAGGTACATATGGGAATACAAATTGACTCAGATTTATACACATCAATGATGAACTTTACAAAGTACTGTTCACGAATCAAGGTCAGACACATTGAACACTAAATATGTAATCATCCAGACCACAAAAATGGTCTATAGGAATGAGTTATGCTCGTATAACAAAACAGTACCACAGAAAGTTAAGCAGCCAGGGGACCAACCATACTTCGATATAAAATTAATATTTTACTATATCTAGCTCAAGAAATCAGCTAACAAAGCAATGTCTAGTTGATAAATCCACATCAATAAAATAAGGGCATAATTGAAACCCAGATATGAACAAGAGTCTCACCTTAACCATCCGTTGCTCATAATTGACTTTTGCAGGGCCTACACATTCATGCTCAAAGCTTTGATTGCATTGAAGAAAGCCTGCATCAAATTTTGCCATGGAGGGAAGCCTCAAGACTTGGAGCTGGTCCATTTTATCCTCACATTTTGTATATAATGCCTCACACAGCTTTGAAGATTGATATTCATTTGCCAAAAGCAAATTTTTATATACCTACATGAAGCATTTCTCCATCACAACCACTAACGTTTCATAAAACCAAAGAGAGGGATAATCTTTATTATAACTAGCTGGGCTTACTTCTCCAAAATCAGTTACATAAGCACAAATTGCTGCAGCTATTTACTGCACTGAGATTATATGATTTCACTCGCCTTTTGTATTTCATCGTCCAATTTTACAACTGATCTTTGGGCATGATGACGACCAAAATGCTGCTGTTCAAATACTTCCATAACCTTCTTTCTTGACTGATCATGTGTGTGATGCAGCATTTGCTCTGATAGTGGTAAACCCACATGAGACATCATCTCACTGTACAATGCTAAACAGCGCTCAAGAATCCCCTTATTGAAAACCTCCACAAGAGAACCTGTTGATGGAATCTCGCCTTTGTTTAAGGCCTCAAGAATCTGAAACATGGACATTCAGGCATTAAACAACAGAAACATGAACCACAATAAAAATTGTTTTAGGTCCATAGGACAAGGTTTAGCCTCCATTCCTGACCAGAAAATTATTAATCTCTGCAGTTGTATACAGAATGAAAATAAGATACCCAACTACAAAGGATGGCCTATTAAATAAGGATGATAGATCAACTGAAATGGAACCTGCTCCAGAAATGATATAAACTCCTTCCCGTTTAGATGTTTCCCCTGGACAATTTTTGGTCGGATGATGGAGGTCACCAATGCTTTCAACTGTTCCCTTTTCTTTACATACATAGGTTCAAGATCTGCATCTTCCATATCACAAAGCTTGGTACGTAGAAGATGAGGCTGAAAATACGGAGATAAAAAACAACTTCAATGCTTCATTCACTGGAAAAAACATAACAGTAGTACAAAGATTTGAAATATTAATCAAGTCAAGTCAAATCAAACCATGAACCTCCTGAGTATTCAGTGACTTGAATCAGAAGAAAAGCTAGGTCAAAGTTCATAGATTATAAAAACAAACGAGCCTAGCCAAAAAGGGAGCAAGCTTACAGTTTTAAAAAAGGAAGGTTTGATGTATACATCTACAGTCACGAATGATGTATTTCTAAATGGCACATTTGACTTTACTCTTTATCCTTCAGGAAACTGGTGTTTAAGGTTTCAGTGACTACTGCTACAATAAGAGAACTCCAATGACAAATAAGGTCTATTTAATCCCTCTCAAAAAAGCTGCTTGTAGACCATTTGGATTTTTTTTAATAGCATTTCGCCAGCAAGCACCAAAAGAAGACAAAAATTCATGAGTTTGTCCTCTAACGTTGTAAACCAAGTAACTGGGCAAAGAAATTTGGCAACTTATTTTCACCAGCATATTTGAGGAAAATCGTTCAAGAAACAGATTTGGCGAAGTGATGATCCACAAATAAAACATAGAAGCGAAACAATTCACCTGAGGTAAGCTGAAGGCTGTACTGTTATCACCCATGATTGCCAAAGATTCGCGAATCTGGTTAACCTGATACAATAACAAAATTTGCAGCATCAGCAACCTATAGACATATAATAGAAAGGTAGACTTGACAATGCTCGATAGAAGGTACCTGATTGATATTTTTGTCACCTGCAGTCACAATCCATCCCCTGAATTAACATACTTTTCATGAATCCAAACATTGTAGGTTATAACTAGCATCACATTCATAAAGGCAGGGGTTTGGTGAAACTAACCACTGTGATTGGGAACCAGTCGAAGAGCTTCATTGACCATCTCCTGTACAGACTTCCCCTCTGTAGACCATAATCCACAAGTTTAAAACTTTTCATTAGGTTCTACCAATCAATAAAAAAAGAGAGAAAAAATAATTCATCAGGTCACACACACACACACATATATAGGTATATAACATAAATATATGTATGTATGAATGTATTACATACCATCATCATCATCATAGTCTTTTCCCAATTAATTGGGGTCGGCTGATGTATTACATACCCCTAACCCCATATATACACAGTTGATTGAATTGTATATTAATAATTTGAACCCAAAAAAAATAAAAACAAATTTGAAAGTAACTAGGTATATGTTGAATAACATTTCACAAATGTAAATCAGCAAATGTAAGATGTAACACCAAAAAGAATCCTATCTAAAGAAATTTTGAATTTGAGAATTTTTTTAAAGTTTTGGATATTTTCTCAAAGAAAAGTAAAAAAAAAAAAATCTTACTTTTTGTTGGTTTTATCTCAATAATTTGGGTTTGAGCTGTTGGGGGGATTGAAATACTCCCCCAACCTTACATCAGTCCTTGTGCCATGGGTAGGCATGTCAGGTGCTTCGCCTAGGGCACGAGGCACCTAGGTGCCCACCCCACCTCAAGGGGCAGCCTTGGCACCCGAGACACGTGCCTTTGAAAACAATGAGTTGCACCTCACCAAAGTCCTTGGCCTCTGCACCTCATAATTTGCCCCTGAGCTGCATCGAGCATAAAGACATTTACAAATATCCAAGCATCTTAGCTTGGAGCAAGAGTTTGGCAAATGCAACTCTCGTTAAAAAATGAGGTTCGATCATGTGGATATAGATGTACATATACAAAAAATGACTAATCATAATTACATCATCATCATCACTTTAGCCTTGTCCCAATTAATTGGGGTCGGCTACATGAATCCTGATTCTCCAATCTGCTCTATTAAAGGTCATATCCTCAGTGAGGCCATAGTCCCCATATCTTTTCAGACTACTTCCAACCACGTCCTTTTGGGCTCACCCCTTGCCCTTTTCAGTCCTTCCACTTGAACTAATTCGTATCTCCTAACAGGTGTTGTATTTGGTTGGCGCCACACATGGTCAGCCCACCTAAGTCAACTCTCTCATTTATAACCTATTGGTGCTACGCTTAAATTCTCTCGAATAGATTCATTGTGAATTCTATCCCTTCTCGTCTTGCCACTCATCCATCTCAATATCATCATCTCCGCTACACTCATTCTATGAGTATATTGTTTTTGTGTGGCCAACATTCTGCCCCATAGAGCAAAGCTGGTCTCACCGTTGTCCTATAGAACTTGCCCTTCAGCCTCATTGGTATGCCGCGATCACATAAAATTCCAGTTGCACATCTGCACTTCGCCCACCTAGCTCTAATTCTGTGTGCCACATCTTCTTCGATCTCTCCATTTTCCTGTATTATCGACCCAAGATATCGAATGTGCGGTCTCTTTTGTACTTCATGGCCGTCAATCTCAACTACTCCTCATCTCTACTCCTATTATTACTAAATTTGCACTCCATATACTTTGTCTTAGTCCGACTAATTTTAAAACCTTTAGATTCTAGAGCATCCCTCCAAAATTCTAACTTTATGTTCATGCCGTTTCGGGTCTCATCAATCAAAACTATGTCATTTGTGAACAACATGCATCACGGTACCTCATCATGTAGGTGCCTAGTTAAGTCGTCCACAACTAAGACAGAAATGTACGGGGTCAATGTTGACCCTAGATGTAGACCTATTGGCTATTGTCACTGAAAACTCACTTGTTTCTCCATTAGTTGTTCATACACTAGTAACCGCTCCATCGTACATATTTCTCATCAAGTCGATGTAGTGTCTAGAGACGCCTTTCTTTTCCAGCACCTGTCAATTCAAATCTCGAGGTACTCTATCATAAGTTTTCTCTAGATCAATAAAGACCATATTGAGGTCTTTTCCCTTCGCCCTAAACTTCTCAATCAGTTTCCTAAGTAGGAACACCTCAGTTGTTGACCTTCCTGGCATAAAACCAAATTGGTTTTAAGATATACTTGTTTCATGCCTTAGTCGTTGCTCAATGACTCTTTCCCAAAGCTTCATAGTATGGCTCATAAGCTTAATTCCTCGATAGTTTCCATAATTTTGTATGTCTCCTTTGCTCTTGTAAATAGGTACCACAATACTTTTTCTCCATTCGTCTGACATTTTCATTGTTTTCAACAACTTGTTGAACAGCTTTGTCAATCAGTCAATGCCAAGTTTCTCCATACACTTCCAAACCTCTATCGGGATACCATCCGGTCCTAACGCCTTTTCAAAGCTTCTTTCACTTCCGACATCTTAATCCTACGAATGTATCTATGACCCCCACCATCACTTTAAATACTCTAAATTTTTGGAAAGTATTCCATACTGCAATTATGGAATATGACACTCAAACCCAACATCCACTGTCCATGTTTATCCGAGGTCAGTAGGGTGATGACTTGTTCCCACTTTTATGGCCACCTTGTTCTGAGCAGGAATAGTTATTCAATTCACTGCCCATGGATAAGTATGGAAGATGGACGTTGGGTGTTAGAACCCTAATACTGCACTCCTAAGGAGAAGGTGGTTGGTCGACTAAAAGTTAGAGCTAGAGGACCAAGTCGTAGTGTAGCAGAGATGTGGACCAAGTCGAAGCGCAGCACATATTCATACAAAGTATAGTATCCAGTCCTGAAAGTTTTGTGATGTCTTGTCGTCCTTTTGCTTTGCAACCATGAAATGGAAAACATCATGAGCTAACAACTTAGTTGAATCTAGAAACTGGTCATCTTTACAATTGCAAAATCTGAACATGCCTAGATTAACGAGAAGAGGGAATACTCGTGGTTGACCATTTCAACATGAAATTTTTGAAGAGTAATTATTTCTTTCTTAACAATGGAAACGAGAAGAAAATAATTTCTAATCTTTCAAAATGGTAAGCATCGCCACATCAGTCATAGGCACAAAAGGGCCCAATTTAAAAAAAGGTAGGTTAGCTTCTTTGGGCTTTTTTGGGGCCAAACTTCTAGGGATTAAACCTCTAAGCTCCCGCACCCTAACCAATATTTTTACCCCCAAGCGGAAGTCAAAGGGACAAAAAGGCCAGATAAGTCCTGCATCATTAAGCAAATTTAGAATGTCTTCTGTTTAATAATTGGTCTTGGGTGATAATTGTTGCCAGCCATTCCACGTACCATTATTTTAAGGATATTTGTGGTCATAGCATTATTTGCATTTTTATTTGAATTAATATATAATCTATCCAGGAAAGATTACTACGCTAATTGGAACACATGCTCAAATCTGGTACACATGGACATTTGAGGTCAACTCCCGTAAGGAAATAATTGATCTTTCAGAATCAAATCCCCTGTCACACTAATGATAATTTGAAGGATGAAGTTCACTTACCCAGAAAATCACGCTGAATCAACCACAAAAGCTTGGCAGGCTCGAATGCTACATCTTGCCCCTACAAGAAAAAATCCAGAGCTTAACAAATTTATGTCTACTATTTCTTTTCATTTCTCAAAAATGGCTTAACATAATTCAAGTGGTTTAAGACTCTGACCTTCACTCTGATGAGTTTCCCAAGAAATGAAGGGCAAGAGGACAACCAAGAATACAGTCAGAATTCAGAGACTACATTTGCTCTATTAAACATAATCTCCCTACAAGCATGTATCCAATTGTAAATCTTGCTCTGGAAGTTGAAAAACTAATATTTTGCAAACCTTCCATAGAATTCTTCAGCAAGTTCCACAGCAAATGACAATCGAGATATGTCTGCTTCACGGATCTAATTTAACAACATACATACTCAACACACATACTCAGGCACGTATTCAATGGATCAAGCCAATCAATTTAAGTAAACCAACATTCCCCTATGCATCATAAACAAAGTAGCAAGGTTATACACATTCAATTAGTATACCCACCGTCTCAGGGAGGTTATAGATCAGCACTGAACTCATAACGGTTGCTAGGGAAAAAATCCTGTTAGAGGCAAGATACAAAAGTCATTACTCATATGTCATATTAACATATTGGAAGAAACTGCGATAACTGAAGATGAGCCCAAATCCAGAAACTTGCCTGTCATCATATACATTGGATTTACCAACACTTTCAAATCCTTCTGTATCAAGATAAAACACAGATGTTTTAACCCCATCAATTTCCAACTCTATTGGAACACCCCATATCCATATTCCTGCATGCCAAGAAGAGATCCTAAAAATTTACCAAACACACATACAGCTGGAAACACACCCAAGAGCAATCAAAGGGAGTGATAGAAGCCTGAGCATTCAAACATATTTCACTTGACTCCTGACCTTTTGTTTTGGTATCCCGCATATGACCAACACCAAATCCTGTGAGCAAAAGAACCTCAAAATGATGAAAAATATAAGACAAAATGCAAAACAATACCATCTATATCGAAGTAGTAAAGGACCCTAGAGTGGGCTGGCAAAGCCGAACCTTCGTTGCAAGAAAGTGAGAGAAGCTGATTGAGAAGAAAAGACTTGCCCGAGCGGTACGGACCAATCACCTGAAATGAAGCAAGTAAATCATTGATAGAGTTCTTTATTTTCTACACATTTGGAGGAATTAAACATGAAAAGTGAACTGCCTTTAAGTTAAAAAAAAACAAGCCTAAACAAAATTCACCGCATGAACTGGAGGAAAGAACTAGTTTCACGGATTTACACAGATACACTTCTCTCACTAAGTGCAGAACATACATGGTCAGTAGCAACTCTGTAGAAAGGAGAAGGTTTGACAATTTTAGGGAAAACAAAATGATTGATTCATTGGAGAGCATATAATAGATAAGCCATGGGCATGATGAAAATTTTAAACCTCAATTACCAAAAGCATGAACAGGAGCAGAGAAGTAACACATCTTCAGAACTAGAAGAAGTTTACAACCAAGAACTTATTTTTTTTTCTATTAATAGCACCCAATAAAGAAATTTCAGCTGTCAAAGATGGAGGTTATCTGGGTACAAGTTGTAGATCCCACAAAAATTGGAGCAGTTCAAAAGTTAATCAGAAATGACAACAGGCTCCTATGAGGTAAATTCATGAAAAAAACTGGAAATGACAGCCACTTTAGCCACAGCTTAAATTTGATCATATTCTTGGGGAGGCCAATCCTTGACATGCTTGCACTTGCATATAACATAGGGAGTTTAGTCACAATATCTCAAGAGCACTTTGTTTCCAACAATGTATAGAGACAGACGAGGCAGCACATAAAGATAAGCTGCAGAGAAAGAAGAACAGAAAGCCAATGCCAATGCAAATCATTCTAAACCAATGCAAAAAAACTCTGCTCAGGCTTAGGATGAGGCCCTGCCTGAGCTGAGTAACTTGGGCAAATCAGAGTTGACCTTAACTGAGTCCTGCATGAGCCGAAAAAGGGCTAAAGCTTGCAAAATAAAATCTAAAAGATTGGCTAAAATAAATTTATATATCAGTAAAAAGCAAGAGAAGTCATAAGAAGCATTAAAAGTATATAAAAGATGGGAAAAAGTACATAAAAGGTGGAATATGGAAAATTTTGATTTATAGCTTGAAACAATTGAGAAAAATCCAAAAAAAGGAAAAATAGAAAAATCGAGCACATAATAAAAAATCTACAAATCATCATAAAACACATAAAATTATTTAAAATTATATATTCATACATCATTTATTACTGTTTAGGAACAAAAATTATCAAGAAATAATATAATGTTTCTAAACCCCAGTTTGTACAAAAAAACTCGCCTCGGAACCCTCTTGAGGCCAAGTTATTCCAGCCCATCCAAGTCGACTCAGTCGAGTCTTTGAACACTGATGTAACACATTCCATATATACTAGCTATCATCATGTGCCCTTTTGCTATTGTAGCATACTTGGCTACTGCATGAACTTCATTATTGCAGAAAATGCAATCCATATTTAACAAGGATAACATCAAGGAAATATCAAGCCATATATAAACAAATCCAGAATGGAAGACATCATATAAGATGCTAACATTGAGTTGTCAAAAGAAAGACGCATTATTCATCCTACAAACTTGTTAGTGACAATCCACCATGAATTATGAATTTAAAGTTGAAAAAGGCACTAAACTGACATCCCTCGGATATGCATTTTAGTCCCTTTTCATTATTCAACTTCATCATACCAGCTTCATTTCAGTGAGCACAAAAAATTTCAAAGTATCCCCGACTTCAATTCATATCCCAGTTCCAAGCAATGGTGTATCAGATGATCCCTTATCATTATCATACAGCCATTAACAGTTTCTTCAAGCAAAACAAATTATCAACTGTGGAAGTTGACATTCTCCCATGAAAATGTGAAGCAAATAATCTTAGATTAAAACCAATCTTGCAACACAGGAATTTATTATTCTAAGTTAAGACTGAAACAATACTACAAGATGCTTACAGCAACAGCAGCAATTGGGTTTGTTATCCTTTCTATTGCCTCCAAACCCTCTCTTGCAATCCGAAGTTTGGTATGACCAGAATCAGGTTCTATAATGGGAAACCTGCAAAAGTATCGAGGGCAAAAATCCTCAATAGTGCATGGTATTGTGGTCTATAACGACAAATACCAAGATTAAAGAAATGCCAGAACAAAGGTTGCATGCAAATCATTCTCATATAGGCTTGGAAAGAAATGACATATGAATCGGCCTATAAATGTATTCCATATGGACATGAACAGAGCAATGAACAATCGTAATACAACTCATTACCTAATTTGTCACATAAACATGAACTCGATAGTCACCAAGACAATGTAGAAAGCAGATGCTTTCCAGGCCAACTTAAAACATTTATGGAGGAAATTATGTGAAGTTAAAGTGCCAGATACGAAAACATCTAGTTGTCTAGTTGTCCATTTTTCATATGAAATCAATAACAGTTGAAATGATTTACCATAAGACCACCACTACATCTATCACAACCAGGAAAATATTCAAAAAACGGTTAGCATGTGAAGGGAATTTGGTAAGGGTGAAATGAGGATCTCAGAATCCTTTAAACCATGTTTTCTTTTATATGTTATCGATTCATTTACACTGTTTTAACCGATGCAGACCATCAAAGCTAAGAGATGGAGATGTTTTTACTAGATTCCTATGTTGAAACCCAACATTTGCGAGTTCACAAAATATAATTCCAGATTAAAAATTTAAGAGTTGAACTCCATAAATAGGGTTCAGAGTTCAATACCTATACTTCTTGCATTGTATAAAATATTAATAATGCTTTTCTACTTCTGAACCCATTGAATCTCAAAATGTTTATCATGTTTTCACAACAATTGCTCCAAACCAAATGAAAACATTAAACATTTTAAAATACTAATCCAAGCCAGAACACCTGCCTATAAATTTACAGCACAAGCTGAACAAAATAAACAAGTGCATGACAGAGTAGAAGCCCTAGAATGCCCCTGTTCTTCAATTCTTAGCAATGTAGTTATCTTGTACAAGTAGACAAGATTTTTCAAATTCTGAAACTGCATCAAGCTCAAAAGATGGGGAATCTTATAAAAGTCACTTCAAAAGAATAAAAAATTTAAATACTCTACAAGAACAATTCATTGTGGAATCCATCACGCTAGATAAGAGTTGAACAGCCATGAAAAAAATCTCAAAGAACAACTAACAACTAGAACAGTAGAACAACTAACAAAATGGTAACACCACTTCAAACCCTAGAATGCACTTACGCTCTCCTATAATCCTCCGGCGAAGAACAAACACTTATGTAGAGGCCGAACAAGATCACCACGAGCAGATCTCGAGGCCAAGTGGCCATTGCTCCAAGCCTTAATCTCATTTCCGGCTTTGTCAGAATCTGTTAAGAGCTTAGGGTTTGCATTGTCCGGATGAACAAGACACGAGCGTTAAAACCATTCGGCCAATGGTTTTGTAACATTTCTATGAGGATAAAAAGAGAGGAAGATAGAGAGAGAGGAATCGGAAGAAGTGCCAGGGAAGATATCGCGCTGTGACTTTGTTCGAAGGTTTTCAATTTGGAGAGAGAAAGTGAGAATGAGTGTGTTTTGGAAAATGGAAACGAGATCGATTCAGTGGGAAAGGTGCCGTATGGCTGCGACTAAGAAGGATGCAGTGTAAGGAAAAGGTCAGAGAGGAAAGAGAAATATCAGTCTAAGATTTTAAAGTGGCTTTTAAATTACTATGCAAACGTGTCCAGAGTACCGCCAACCGGTAGAGAGAGAGAGAGGGGGAGAGAGTATTCTTTCGGGAAAATATCTATATTGACCTAATTTTAAATTTATTTTTTTTCTAAAATCAAATTTTGAAAACATATTTTCTAATCCCTTAAATAATTTTAAGATAATGATGCTACAAGGCCTTCCCACACCCATATTTGTAAATTTGATACAAATCTCTAAAAACATTATTATATAAATATGAAAGTTGATTTTTTTAAAAAATCTATATCAAATTTAATAATAATCTTGAAAAATAAGATTCTTACTCATAACTTTATTTATATTTATTTCAATATTTAACTCAAATAAATTAAAAAGAATAATGATTCTATGAGACCCTCTTATATCCATGTGTAGTACCCCAAATGATCAGTATTAAATTTGATATAGATCTCCACAAAAGTTAAGTCCCACACCTATGTGATAATTTTTCTAAAGATTTATGTCAAATTTAATGACGATAATTTAGTTTCCTGTATATATGGATGTGAGAATGCCTCATAAGATTATTATTTAATTAAAAAATGCATCTTTTTTGAACTCTAAACCGTTTAAAAGTTAGCGTGGGTTGGGGAGGTGATCCTCATCCCTGTCATTGAGGTTTTGGGTTTGGTAGGTAATCCTCATCTCTGTTACATAGGTTTTTAGAGAGAAAAAAAAACAAGTCTATTCCTTTCATCATTTGAGACCCTCTTCTCTCTATCTCTCTCCACATATTAAAACAAAACTCACTTCATCATTTTTTAATCCTCATCTATGTTACATAGGTTTTTAGAGAGATAAAGCATTTTTAGAAAGAGAAATACAAAAAACAGTCTCTTCTCCCATCATTCCAGGTCATCTTCCCTCTCTCCACATATAAAACAATCTCACCTCGTCATTTCTTAATCATCATCTCTATTACATAGGTTTATGGAGAGAGAAAGCATTTATAGAGAGAGAAACACAAAAAAAATCTCATCTTGTTGAGAGACAAACACAAAAAAGCAGCCACTGATGAAGTTTCTCTCTTGTTGAAAATGGTAGGTTCACATGAGTGTGGTTCGGTCTGAAATAGAGAGATTTCTATACTTGAATTTTGTTTGAGCTGGGAGTGGAGCATATCACGTCCCCTGTGGTAGCGAGAGAAAATGATGAAGCTTTGGTCCTTTTGGAAGCTGTATTTGGGGTTTTTGTGAGAGTGACCGAAATGGGTTTTGTGAGAGTTTGGGATTTCAGTTGAGAGAGAGAGTGTTTGGGTAGAGAGAGAGAGAGAGCAAAATGGGTTCTAGAGAGAGAGTTTGGGATTTCAGTGGGGAGATTGGGTAGAGAGAGAGAGCAAATTGGGTTCTAGAGAGAAGAAGACGGTGCGGACTCTAAAGAGGTGAAGATAAGGATAACAAACGGCTTGAGGAGCTTTTGGGAAAGATGAAGCTTCATGGCATGTCCGTTGATAAGATGATCAAGCAGCTCATGAACAAGGATCGGTAAGAAACGGCTTGAGGAGCTCTTGGGAAAGATGGAGCTTTATGGTATGTCCATTGATCAAATGATCGAGCAGCTCGTGAACACAAATGGTGATAATAAACACATGGGCTGGAGGCCTATGCTTTATAGTATACCTGAGGGTGAATCATGCTTTAAAGTTAGCGAGGGTTTGGGAAGTTGACCAGGGGAGAGAGAAAGGGAATCATGTCAACAGAGGGGTTTAAAAAACGATTTACTTTTAAAATTTATTTTGGTTAAAAAAATTAGTAAAAAATGAATCAAATATGTTTAAGGGGTTATGAGATATAATAGAGTGAATTTTTATGTAGTAAGATAAGTTTTGTAACCTTGGATCAATAGATAAATGAAAGTTGAAAATGGGGTCTATATAAATATTTCCCTTTTTCTTTCTAGGGTGGGGTTTGTATAGAGCTTAGGCTCTAAACAATCAAATTATAGCCTACCTTCAAATAGTATCGAGAAATGTAGTTTCAATACTGAAAATATTCGTGATAGCCTTAAAATATATTTATATTTTTATTTATAAAGTTTAAAGCTTCAAAATAGTGTGGATGGATAAATCTATGAAAACTTGAAAAAACTTGAAAATTGACGGCTCAAAAATGCATTATAAAATACACAATTTCTAAAACATGAAATCCAATTTTTTCTCATGTTGATGCATCTTGATGTCGAGATGATGAATTTGAGGATATTTGGGCATGAAAACAACATCTTCTAGGTAGGCTCTAATTTGAAGCTTAAAACTTTATAAATAAAATATATATATATTTTAAGACTATCACAAATATTTTCAGTATTAAAACTACATTTCTCGACACTATTTGAAGGTAGGCTCTAATTTGATTATTTAGAGCCTAAGCTCTATACAAACTACACCCTTAAATAAATGATATACCCAAGGGTGCATTTGTATATAGCATAGGCTCTAAACCATCAAATTAGAGCCTACCTTCAAATAGTATTGAGAAATGTGGTTTCAATACTGAAAATCTTTTTGATAGCCTTAAAATATATTTTTATCTTTATTTATAAAGTTCAAAGCTTCAAAAATAATGTAGATCAAGAGGTCTATGAAAACTTCAAAACTTGAAGTCCATTTTTTCTCATGTCCATGCATCTTGATGTCTAGATGTCAAATTGACTATATTTGAGCATCAAAACAACCTCTTATGGTGAAATTTTTTAGATAGGCTCGAATTTGGTTGTTTAGAGCGTCGGGTTTATATAAACTTTTCCCTACACCCAAACACGCCACAATACGATGTCTATTGGTTTCTTGTTGGGGGCTTCCACCGGTAAAATCTTCCATATACAAAACGTGAGGAACTTGGTGACTAGGTGAGATTCCAGAAATTCATATCTGGGTCGGATAGAGAATAAACGGAAAAACTTTAGGTGTGGATGGCGCTACGTATCTTTCCTTCCCACATGACCATTAAGAAATTGGGCAAATTCTAATTTTTTAAGTTGATCATGTAAAAGCCTATGTTAAAGAATAGTAACAAATAAATGTATAACATATAGGTATTTCATGATCCATTTGCTATATGTCTATCATCTAAAAGTTCTATAAAAATTATTTAAAATTTTTAATTTTAATTAGATGTTTGTTAATTTTAGATTAAAAATGCTACTAACCAAGTCTTTTACCCTAATTCTTTAATGTATAATATGATCTCGACAAACCACATTAGAAAGTAAACTTTCAACCACTGATAGAGATGATATCGTCAAATGGGAAGTGAAACGTTTTTTTTCCCTACTTATCCCTCTATTATAGCCAAAAGACCGTATGGTCCTATAAACATTTAAAATCATTTATGTTATTAATAAAATGTTTTATTACTTTTAATTTCACAAATTATAAGAAATAAACACTTATAAAATAGAAATTTGACATAGATAATGAAACATCAAATCTATTATGAAGTTTTAATAAATGCATCAATATTTTATTTAAAGGTAAAGTTTTTTCATATAAAATGCTAGATTTTTAACAAATCATAATTAATATTACAATATGCACAACTTTGAAATGCAAACTTCATAAACATTTAATTAATAAAGAAAACTTAATTTACCATTAAGTATAAATTACAATATATAATAAAATAACTTATTTATAATATACAAAATCATAAGAAATTAATGTTAATGTTATCTTTATTTTAAAAAAGAAAAATTACATATATATATCGGTTATATTTTACGTTATTACGAATATACCAAATAGTTTCCGTTATTTTGTATGTCCATTTTTTACCTTTTATAACACATTTTTTTTTAAAAAAATAACTTTACCTTTTTTCGGATGTTGAACATCCAAAAATTACATACATACCTTTTTTTGGATGTTGAACATCCGAAAATAGGCCAGAAGTTCATATTCCCATTTTCAGCTGTTGAAAATATGAAAATATGATATTTTCGGATGTTTAATATCCGAAATGGTTTTGGATATTGGACATTCGAAAATATCGAAATATGAAAGTGAACGTTTAACTTTTGGGCTATTTTTGGATGTTGAACATCTGAAAGATCATTTCGATGTTCAACACCTGAAATGGGAATGTAAACATTACACTTTCGATCTTATTTGGATGTTTAACATTCGAAAAAGGATAAAGTCGTCTTTTTTAAAGAAATTGCATTATAAATTGTAAAAACGGATATACATGTAATAACGGAAACTATTTGGTATATCTATAATAACGTAAAGTATAACGGATATATATGTAATTTCCCTTTAAAAAATACGCTTAACATTTTCTAATGTTATGCATAGAACACATTCTATCGTGACTTTTTTTTTTCTTGTTAAAATGTCATTGGTTTCGATTTGCAAGTTCTAAAACTACTTATTTTAGACTACTAATTTCATTTTAATAAAACTTTTAAAATTTCTAATTTTTAGGTTTGATAAATTAAGAAACATTTTAATAAAGAGTACGGTTTGTATGAGATTGCAGCTTATAAAGCTGCCTAAGGGATTGGGGCAGGGGCATGGCTCTGGCCTAGGGCCCAAAAAGGCTGATATCTCATGCCCGTAGGCCTAAGTGACCAAAAAAACGGATATCTTGTGCGCTCGCTTAGGGCGCCGCTAAGGCCTGTGCCCAAAAAAGCCGATATCTTGAGGGCTGCCTAGGCCGCCACCGAGCCCTGTGCCAAAAGCAAATATCTTGTGGGCTCGCCGCGGACAGGTGTAGGGCAGAAATGCCTTTTGTATTTTTGAACAATTTTTATAATAATATAAATACAAAATTATGGGTTTTAGGTTCATTTGATATTTAAAACTCATTAGCGCCTATTTATAGAGATAAAAACTCGAAGAAAAAAAAATAAAAATAAAGAAAAAAAAAATCTATTGGGCTGGGCCGCAGGTTCTGCGCTCCCGCCTAGGCGCTATGCTGCATGGACCCCGACCTCCTAGCGCCTTTTTTTT